ACCCATTGGTATGGTGAGGAGACTCACCTCTATCTGCTAAATCTAAAAGCTGCTCTCCTAATAGTCCGTGAACACCCTTGCTGAACAATAATACCATTACCTAAGGTTAGGGTTGAACATAATCCAATTGAAGAACCTAACCCTAAGTCCTTTAACAATGGCCCAAAAAGTCTTCCTTTGCTAATAGGCCCAAATTCCATCTCCAAAATCATTAATGGGCCTCATGGCCCAAAACAGATAAGTTGGCCCACTAACTCAAAACTTGACCAAGCTCAGTGACTGATTAAGGCCCAAAGGGCTCACAAGCCCAAAACAAGTCTTAGCTCACCTGACGTGCATACACCTTGCATACCACCCTGGTACGCGCAGCGTACTGAGTCCCTAACATGTACGCGTTGTGTATTCTAGGTTACGCCTCACATACAAACAAATTAAGCACCTTCTTACATTAAGTGCTTAATACTCGATGTTCTAACGTCTATTATCATATCTGAGCTCATTAAGACATCCTAGGGCATAAAGTTGGCAACTTTATGTCCTTGTGTAACAGCCCGAATTCCCAGGTATCTTCATTTCATATTTATGTCATTCTGTGAGGGGACTCGGCGAGTTGGTGGTCGAACTCGCCGAGTCGGGTCGCGTTTTGAGCGGGGGTTCGCATCCGGACTCGGCGAGTCCAAGGGATGGACTCGGCGAGTCCGCGCTGTTTAATGAAACCCTAATTTCCCGGTCCTAAGCCCTATTTAAAGGACCTTATGGCCCTCATATGCGGCCACCTTGAACCCTAAGAGCCTCCATACGTCTGTAAGCCCTTGTAAGTGTGTTTGAAGGCCTTTTGTTCATCATTTTGTGTGATATTGCAAGGAAAGGAGGGAGAGGAGCAAGCTTGAAGTGTTGGGGAGCTTAGATCTGTTGCTATTTCATCAAGGGGGTCTTCTTGAGGTAATTTTCTAAGCCAATCTTCGTGTTTTGTGTTGATGGGCCAAATCTAGGGTTTCTTCTTGCATTTCTTGGCTTGAATAAGAAGTATGAGAGGTCCCATGGAGACATGGAACCTAGATCTGGACTTAGGCAGGTCCAGGAGACCCCTCATGACAAGCTTTATGTCCATTCTTTTGAGTTAGAAGCTAAACTTGCCAAATAAGTGGTTGTTTCTTCAAAGGAAGCCTTGTATGCATTGCATGGCAACCAAGACTGAGACTTTACGTGACAAATAAGCTTGGGAAGGCCAGATCTATGTATGTATGGAACGGATCTGACCGCAAAAGCCAGTTTTAGGTGGTGCATGGCATGGACTCGCCGAGTCTGAAGAACAGACTCGACGAGTCGCTTGAAGATTGTCCTTGAGACCATCATGTGTGTAGTCCGGATCGAGTTGTGGGCGACTCAGTGAGTCGCAGAGAGTTGGAAAGGTTTTGACAGGTGGACCGAGTCAGATTGGGACTCGCCGAGTTGACCTTCGACTCGGCGGGTTGAGTCGCGGTGGCCCCGTGATTCAGGCCCAGGTGGAACTCGTCGAGTCGGGGGAGTACTCGACGAGTCAAAGGGAAAATTCTGGAGAGTTGGCAAAAACGCGTAGACTCGCCGAGTCACTATTGTGCACTCGTCGAGTCTGCTCCAAATTGTCTAAGGCTGCTGACCAAGTCAACCTGTGTTGACTTGATATGGATGGTCCACCTTAGTGGTACAAGTAATAATTAAAGATTTATAATATCATAGGAGGATTGCAGCTCGAGGGTTCGAGCCCGAGTGATTTCAGGATTCACGATTAGCGACTTAGCGAGGCAAACAAGGTGAGTCTTCTCACTATACTGTACCCGGAAGGGTTTTGACTATGTGACCGGAAGGTCGATTATGATGTATGCCTTATGTGTGTTAAGTTATTTGCTATATGTGTCATGTATGATATGTTTGATATGGGCCGGAAGGCGTGGTCATATGGACTGTAAGGGTTGACGTGGGAAGGACCGGAAGGTTTACCCAGTCGAGACGGAAGTCCCCTGAGACACATGGACCGGAAGGTCAAGGCCTGGAAAGGCGTATATGCGTATGTTGTATTTTGGGGAACTCACTAAGCTTTATGCTTACAGTTGTTGCATTATGTGTTTCAGGTACGAGTGAGGACCGTGGGAAGGCGCCAGCGTGACCGTACACACACTCGGGGAAACTATTTTATCTTTTGTTATGTAATCGGTTGTGACTACATTGTTATTTTGGAATCTAAACTATTTACTCATGTTTTGATGGTTGTAAAAATGAAAATTTTTGGTTGGAAATTTATGACGTTACACCTTGCATGCTATATGGGACTTAAGAACTTCATTCTTCACATTAGGACTTCATATAAAGCTTCAAACTCATGCTTGGAGTTGAGATACTCTTCAAGCTAGCACCTTTATGCATCTAGCATGCTCACAAAGCTCAAATCTAACCATTTCAGTCTCTGGAGTTGCTCAACTCTCAAGAGAAGGTCCAAAACCAACTAAAAGGACAATATAGAAAACCCTAGCTAGATCTAATGAATAAGATGGCAAGATCAAGACTTTATACCTCCAGAGGCTCTTCAAGGTGAACTAGATGCAGATTCTTGAAGCCCAATGTTACTCCAAGCTTGCTTAGCAATTCCTTTTTCTTGAATGAACTATAAAATGGCCACAAATACACTCCTTAAGCTCAAAAACACTCCCACAAGGGATCTCTGGTGTAAAAGGGTGAAATAAGTCTATGGAGGCTGATTAGGGTTTGATCTAAGAGGCTTAAGGGTGTTTAAATAGGTGTGAAGTCCGAGAATTAGGGTTTTGGCCCTCTGTCGCGTATGCCCTGCGTACCTATATGTATGGCATGCGTACGCGGCCACCCTCTGTGTTCATGCATCCTTAGTATGCTAAGCGTACTCCCGGAGTATGCCCCGCATACTAAGGGACCTTTTATGACATCTTTTATATTTCAAGGGTCTAAAGAGTAATACATGATTTAGAGTGTTATAAATACCATGTTAACAAGTCAAATTGTATTGCATTAATGCCGAAGGGTATACTCGACAAACCACGAAGTATGGAGAGCTTCAGGTAAGCAAACAATACCACCACAAGCCACTGTTGTGGTCATTGGTGTATTCCTAGAGAAGAAGTGAGGAAAAGAGAAAAAGGAAGAGGGTTGCAAGAAAAAAGGGAAAGGAAGAGAGAAAAAGAAAGGGATTGGTTCATTGCCCATGTCACATACCATGAACCACCATAGTTGTGGCATTGGGGATGGTATGCATGATTTAGCCCACCATGCCACTTGGCCATGACAATTGATTGTGGTTTGTACCTGAGGGATTAATGTATCAATGACATGTTTATATTTTGCTCTTGTACTTTTTTTACGTAAATTTATATATTACTATTTTAAAATATATCTTTTTACCTACATTAACAATTTAAATACACATTTATAGTTAATTCATAGAATACACTGTCAAGCCATAACCCTTTTCATTATGTGTTTTTATGTTTATTTACCGTGTCAATTGTCAATTCTCGGTCATTAAAGGGTTTTGGTAATTCAGATTAATATTTATTTACAATATAAATAAATTGGATCTTTAATTTAATAATATCTTACCACCATAAGTATGGAATCTTGACCTATATTAATTAACCTGAATGAGGTTTATACGAGTGAAGAAAATTATAAAATATTATTTATATTGTGTTTGACACATTAACTGAAAAACTAGCCTTTAGGCTATCATATATGGGTGGTGAAGACTACAAATGATGAGAGGGAAGGAATTCTCTATTTTTCCTCTTCCTCCTCTCTTTCTCTCTCCGTGTCTCTCTTGACGAAGGATTCCATGTGTGAACGCCGCCTCAGGCGGCAGAATAGTATTGGTGGAATGTGTTGTGATGAGGTGGCATCTCATACACGTGTTTATAATGAACAACCTATAAACTAGTTATCTCAAGTAACTTATTAAAATGATAGCATATAAGATACAATAAACTACTTTTATGATATTACAAAACACTAATTGCAATAAACTTAAAAAATAAAATAGTTTATGTTTGTCAAGTCGAACCTTAAAGTTCAAGGAAAGCCTAAAAATACGAACAATGGCACCATCGTTCCCGCCACCACACCACCAGACTACCGTTACACTACTAAACAATCATCACACAACATTTTTATTTCTCTTATCGGTTTGAATGGTAAAACACCATAAAAATCTTACCTCTATTGTAATTGTGAGAAAGTGCAGTGAAGTGAATGTGATTGGTTAGGGGCAACGAAGGAAACGATAAGGGAATGGATTAGATCCATACATATTATTAAATATTTTTTCTTAATAAACACATAAAAATATATGAAGGGTAGTATTGTCATTTTAAGTCATTTAGGGACCAAGACCATGGATGTTCCGAGTTACAAAAACATTTAAGGACCACGCGTACATATTAGCCAAACCATATGGACCATTCTTGTAATTTACCCTTACCTATAAAAAGCTGTTACACACATACATGCCGCATATTCAAAATACATTGATCAGATTCGAAGTCTCCCGCCACCTATCACCGTCTCGGTCGGCCGTCACAGCCTTCCTGTAAGTTCAGTCGAGCTTTTTTTCTTCAGGCAAATCCAAGTACTTGCTTTAGCAGCCGCCAAATTTCCAGTTTTTCTTTTGTATTAAATTCATCAACGTGTGTTTCCTCAAGTCGGATTGATGATTATTAATTTCGGGTCTCTACCTTAATTACCGAAACGAAGACTTTTATTCGGGATTTCTATGGTGGGAAAAAAGGGTTTCGCAGAAATTATCTTTAGGTTTTGGATATAGATGTGATGTGGAGAAGGAATCATACATAGAATCAGACGAAAAACTTACATTTTCCATTATTACTGTATCTATGAACTTATAAAAAAATTATCGTACATGAATGAAGGTTTAACACGGGACTTGAAGATCAAGAAATTTCAAGCCCTTGTCTCACACTGATACAGAGACGAAGGAAAAAATGGCAATAGATCCAACTCCATTACCTGAGTCTGCTCCTTCTTGGTTCACTCCCAAAAGGTACACGTACATTCATCATGTTTCATCTCTTTTCCCCTTTTCACTTCTTGATTAGATAAAAAAACAAAATCCAGCTAACTAACGTGGGAATTCACACAATGCACAGGTTGCTTGTGTTTTTCTGTGCGATCAACATGATAAATTATATAGATCGAGGAGCAATTTCCACTAATGGTGTAAATGGGAGCCCTAGAACTTGTTCAGAGATTAATGTGTGTTCAGATGGTAGCGGAATTCAGTAAGTCGTTATCTTTATAACATCATTAGTCGTCATATGTTCTTTATACTTTTTTTTTTTTTTTTTTTTTTTTTTTTTTTGTCAAAAGGGGTGATTTCGATCTAAGCAATTTTAAAGATGGTATTCTAGCTTCTGCTTTCATGGTTGGACTTCTTATTGCATCTCCAATATTTGCATCCTTAGCCAAAAGGTAGTTTCTGTGTTTCTGAATCATTAGCTAATGTGTCACATGATTGATTTTTATTTTATTTTTTCTAATTTTTATTTATTTATTTTGTGTATATGAGCACAGCATTAATCCTTTTAGACTTATTGGAGTTGGATTGTCGGTGTGGACACTTGCTACAATTGGTTGTGGGTTTTCGGTTGATTTTTGGTCGATCACTATCTGTCGAATGTAAGTTTACCATTTTACCCTTTCAAACACCATCAACCTTCATAAATTTGATTTTTTTTTTTTTTTTTTTTTTTGGTGTAACTGAAATATTGTTGTTTTCAGGTTAGTTGGTGTTGGTGAAGCCTCTTATATAGGTCTTGCAGCTCCATTGATTGTTGAGAATGCTCCAGTATCTCAGGTTCTCTTTGTTACTTGCTAATTCCCACACATTTATATGTTTTGTGTTTCTAATTTAGGGAAATCTCCAGAAAAGTTTCACACTTTTAGGAAAAGTTTTTAATAAAATCCTAAATTTTAAAAATAGAAAAATCTCGACTTTTTAACTTTTTTGATTAAAAAAGCCCAAGAAACCGACTAGTTTATTCACTTGAGCCATTTTTGACTTGTTCAGCAGGTAATGAGACGAAATCCTTAATTTTTCCAAAAATAATGATCAAATTTCGTCAAAACTTATATATAATATATAAACATATTTTTTACATATTTATATCTACTTTTACGTATTTTTGTACTTTTTTAGTTTTTGTATATATATGTTTACGTATTTTTATGTATTTTAAATATATAAACGTATTTTTTACTTATATATGTATTTTAAATGTATAAACGTATTTTTTTACATATTTATATATGTATTTTTTAAGTATTACACATATTTTTTTATGTATTTTTATGTGTTATTTTTTATGTATTACGGACTTATATATATATATATATATATATATATATATATATATATATATATATATATATACGTATTTAAGGAATTTTTTAACACTTTTTTATATAATTGGTTACATTTTTTATGTATTTTAAAATTTTAAACATACTTTTACGTATTTATATGTATTTTTAAGGGTGTTACATATTTTTTATTTATTTTTTTGTGTTATTTTTTTTATGTATTACGTATTTATGTATTTTTTAAGATTTTTATATTGATGTTTATGTATTTTTATGTATATTATATGAATAAATGCATTTTTTTACATATTTATAAGTATTTTTAAGTATTTTACATATTTTTATGTATTTCTATAGTATGTTTTATTTATGTATTACGTATTTATATGTATTTATATATATATTTTTAAGTTTTTTATATAGATGTTTTTGTATTTTTATGTATTTTAAATGTATAACTACATTTTTTTTACATATTTATGTATTTTTCTACCTCAAGTCATCTTCACCGTTTCATCCGATTCGTACAGTTTCTTAGAGTATGTCTAGATTGTTTTCCTACATAAAAAAACTATGTAAAATACTTAAAAATATATATAAATACGTAAAAAATATGTTTATACATTTAAAATACATAAACATCTATATAAAAAACTTAAAAAAATACATAAATATGTAAAAATGCATATAAATATATAATACAAAAAAAATAGCATGCAAAAGTACATAAAAATATGTAAAATGGTTAAAAATAGATATAGATAGGGTTATACATTTAATATACGTAAAAATACATACATACATACATACATATATATATATATATATATATATATATATATATATATATATATATATATATAGACACACACACGTAAAAATAGATATAAATACGTAAAAAAATACGTTTATACATTATATACAAATATTGACGAAATCTGCAGAAAAGTGTCATTATTTTGGAAAAATTAACAATCTAGTTTCATGACATGCTGAACATGTCAAAAAGTTTAAAAGTCGGGACTTTTCTATTGAAAAAATAAAATTTAGGAGTTTATTAAAAAATTTCCCAAAGACATTAACTTATTACTCCCTCCGTCCCAAAATTATAGTTCGTTTTTCATTTTTTGTTTGTTTCAAAATAATACTTCATTTCTAAAAATAAATAATATTTTTATCAAAATATTCTCTCATTAGTACTTAACCAACTAAACAGTTAATAGAACATTAAATGCAAAGTAAAAACAAAACTGTTATTTTATTGCATAAAGTTAGTTGTAATTAATGTTTCGTTAATCTGTTTCTTGTCTGTGGATAATAATTTTGGGACTGAGTATTATTATTATTATTATTATTATTTTAATTTATAGTTGCAACAACCAAACTTACATCCATTTTGTTTTATAGAGAACCTTGTGGCTGGGAATATTCCATATTAGCGTACCTGCTGGAGTTGCTATTGGTGATGTCTATGGTGGATTGGTATGCCACCATATAAGATAAGATAAAACAAGCTTTCTAGCATAGTTACCTAATTCGTCCCAAACGCCTCTAATTCGGTGTTCAGGACGTCCTTTTTTCACGTTCCAGCTGAGATTTCATTCTCGGCGGGAAATCGCGGACTGTGTCTCTTACGAAATAGTGGTACTATAATGTTTCATAGAGGTGTATGACAGTGATTTCCCAAATAGTGGTGGCGTTGTTATCGTGATCCACTGTTCTTTCCGTCAATGCAATAGTGGTGCAACAGGCGATATTACAATTTAGGAAGTGATTTGTACACAACCAGGGGCAGATTTAGGTGGGGTCACCGGTGGCACCGGCAACTCCTAACTTTTCCGGCCGCAATTGAAAATTTTTCGAAATTTTTAAAAATTTTACTTTTTCTACTATCGTGCAACCCCTGACTTTCTCGTGCAACCCCTACTGTGAAATCCTGCATGTGAATCCTGCGTCCTCCCCTATACACAACAGATTTTCGCCACACACAACAATTTATGTTTTACAGAGTTGTACAATACAACATTTTAAAGCACCAATTGTTGTATGTGGAGAAAAATTGTTGTGTACGAATCACTTCCTTTACAATTTAGTCCATCTTGCGCTACTTGACAAAGAAAAATGCATCTATGGGCTATTTAAATATAATTATGTTCTTTCTATTTTTAACTAGCTCAACCGAATATATTGATTTTGTTTAAATAACCCAATTGCCCAGATATCAAAATGCAAACCTAATTAGAAAGCACACAAATTCTCCTCTTTTAATTAGAATGCATGACTAATTTCCATATTACTATATTAGAATATTATGTATTTATGCTTTATGTTTTATTTTTATTTTTATGACTTTTAATGATATTGGTTCTATATAATATAATTAGTATTAGTACTCTAATATATAAATTATATATAAATATATAATATAAATTATACATAAAAACACGATATACAACCGCACCGCTAAAGTTGTCAAAATCAGGATCCTAGGTACGATCGTTTTTGGGTTTGAAAGATTAGGATCGGGATCCTAAGACCCTACAAAATAAAACATAAGTTTAACTAATTATTTTCAAACATTTAGTTTTCTGTTCAAAAACTATAAAAACTTCAAAACTTTAGTTACAACTTACAATACAAAATGATAAACGATAAATTGGTAAAGGATAAAATATATGAAGTTGTAAATCCATTTTTTCATTTGCATAAAAAAAGTCAAGGGAAGGTAGGATCGGATCGGATCCCGATCCTACGATCATACCTGCGATCCTACCCTAAATACGATTTGTATGCGATATGGGTCATTTTTCATACCTAGTATCTTACTTTCTTACGATCAAGATTGTGATTTTGATGACATTGATCACCACGATTTCAAATAGTAGCCGGTGATCGTTATTTGAATTTTGACCGCGATAACTGCATTGTTTGTAATCACTGTAAAGGGAAGTTTACAAGCTCTTACACCAAAATTGTGCACTTTTTGACATTAGAAGATGCTTAACCATGATTAGAGATCAAGAAAGGCATGAAAGACTTTTGAAGAATGTAAAAGAAGCAGGAAATTTTGCTCTCTCAAAGTGTTTGAAGAATTTAGTACTCGCTAAAAAAATTATCCTTTAGGAAACACATAGAAGAATCTTTTGGCATATTAGAGAGAAACACGATGGACTTGATGATGATTCGAGGATTGTGTACTAATGGAATTCCTTTTCAATATGTCACCTAACTTGCAATTTCTAGAAATGGTTAGTGCCATCAAGAATACACCAGATGGATACAAACCCCCCATCATGTGTAAAAGCAAGAACCTTATTATCTGATGAATGTGTTAAAGATGTTGAGAAAGAGCTCCGGTTAAAGACACATGATATGCACAAGGAGTCTCAATCGTATCAAATTGGTGGTGTAATGTTACACAACCCTCTATCAATTTTCTTGTGCTTAATTTGCATGGTGTAATGTTTATGTACTCGGAAGACTTCTACGGGGTGAAAAAAAAGGGGTTGTAATTTCTAAGTTTCTTCTTGGAGCCACTAATAGCATTGGACCAAGCAATGCGTTACACGTTGTAACAAACAACACAACTAATTGCAAAACGGTTGGGTGGGAAATCAAGAAGGTATACATATATATTTTTGGTTCCTTTTTGTGTGCACACTGTGAATATGATCTTTAAAGACTTGGCTATCAAATTTTATTAGCTAACCTCAACATATAAGTAAGGTAAGGAAATTATCAAGTATTTTCTTAACTACACCCATGGCTTACATTTTTTTTAGAGAAAACTCAATATTGGAGTTATTGAAGGTTGCGAAGACATGTTATTGAATTATAGGAAGGCCCTTTGCATGACTATCATCCTCAATTCTTGGCGGGAATGGGTAAAAAATGGGAACGAAAATATTCGAATAGTTGGGCAAAGGTCACTGATACAATTAAGGATTACGAGTTTTCTAAAGATGGTGAGAATATTTTGGCTATTACAAAAACCCCATATTTTGCTAATTAAGTTTTGTGATGGTGAAGGTCCCAAAATGGGAGAAATATATGAAAGAATGGACAACATAAAAGAATGGACAACATGCTAGGTGAACTCAAAGATAATATGTTGGAAATAAATATTCAAGTTATTACCCTCAAGTTGGAAATATTGTTGTGGCTAGATGGAAAAGATGCCGATCCCACTTTATTGTGTGGGGATTGTTTTAAGTCCTAAATTTTATGATAATTACTACCTAGAGAAGTTGGCACCCGGTGACATGGAAAGAAAAGCTCCTAACCAAAACATAAAGATTGTAGTCAGTCTTATGGAAGTGTTTCATAGGATTGCAGAAATTAAAGAAGAAAGGATGTTACGAGAATAATTTGCGAAATTTCATATGAAAAAGGAATCTACTCTAAAGCCACAACGCAAGCCGATGTCGTGACAATGGATGAAGTTGATTGGTGGGCTACATATGGATCAGAGACTTCAAAATTGGAAGAAGTAGCAATAAAGTACTCTACCAACTGATTAATAGCTCTTCAGCACAGAGAAATTGGAGTACATACTTCTATATCCATAGTGTCCAGTGAAATCGTTTAAATGTCAAGAGAGCGGATAAACTTGTCTTTATTCATTTTAACATTAGACTTCAATCATGTTGTTAGGATTCTTATAAATCCATCCCCCACAAGAAGTCCCACAAGAAGTGGGTCATGAATCTAGAAAATGCACACACACACACACACACACATATATATATATATATATATATATATATATATATATATATATATATATATATAGGTTCAAGTCTTTCATAAAAATATTTTTTTACAAACACAAGTTGTGTCCTATCTTGTCAAATCTTTTTGGTTGGGACATAAGACTATTTTTTTTTTCCATTCACATCAGTCTCATTCCAATGAATGTCATACGTATTCGGTTATGTTTTCTGATTTATAGGTTGGAAGTGGTTTAGGTTGGCGCTATGCATTTTTTGGCGAAGCAATTCTAATGCTTCCATTTGCTATTTTGGGTTATGTAATGAAACCTTTGCAAATGAAAGGTACATTTAACAATTTCTATTAAATTAGTATTTTATTAACATTAAGATAACACCTTTTTTCAATATACTTTAACAAGTTCGATGTTCATGTAGGCATGTCAAATGCAAAAATCATCCCATGGTTCTTAAATGAAGAGTTCTCAAAGAAAGATTACAGGTCTTTCACACAACAATATTGTATAAAAGTTTCATCTGTAAAACCCATTTTATATTATTTACACCGGAATTTTTTTCAGCTATGTTTCATATACATTAAATCAGTTATCAAGATTTGGGCAAGATATGAAGGCTCTTTTGAGTGAGAAAGTATATGTTGTAAATGTTCTAGGTGATTAATATTCTTCAATCTCAACTATTGTTCACTTAATTTATTATTTGTTGATCTTCTAATTTTTAATGGATTTATAGGTTACATAGTGTATAATTTCGTCTTTGGTGTATATTCATATTGGGGCCTAAAAGTTGGTTATAACATATACCAAGTGGTAACAACGTTTTATATAGAAACCAAAATTAGTATGCAAGAAATATATATATATATATATATATATATATATATATATATATATATATATATATTGGCTTCCCACATTTGGATTTTTCATATTTTACAGGACAATATTGATTTATTATTTGGAGGAATCATAAGTGTTGGTGGAATTGTGGGGACAATAGGAGGAAGTCTTATTTTGGATCGCATAAATTCCACAATCCCCAATGCTTTTAAGGTACATATTTATATTTATTAATAATAGAGTAAATTACACAAATCGTCCCTCGTGCAGGTGTCAAAATGCACATTCAATATTATTTTTAAAAATTAACTCGGACCATCCAGTATGTTTAAAAGCTGTACATTTGGTTATGTTGTTAATGATGTTAAGTTTTTGTTGTTAAACCATGGTAAATTGACATATTTACCCTTATTTTTACAGAAAAATTATTTAAAAAAAAATAAAAACTAATTTAAACCATAACACGCCACCCCCACAACCAAGGAACCAAATCTTGTTACAAACCCCAACTCGTTCAATTTCCATTTTTTGAAGTTCTTGTTCTTGAAGAAAGCAAGATTTTATTTCATTTTCATTTCTAACATTCCCTCCATTTCATAAATCTATAGTAACAAAATAAGAAATTTTCCAGATATGATTAATACATACAAGAAATCAAGTGATATCAATGCCCTAATAAAGACCAATAACCATAAATCACTGGAAGAAAGATAAAAGAACACATGTTCGTAAAGAAAAACTCGATTAGGTTTTGATTTTTGAAGTCCACACAAATTGAAACTAAAACCTATATTCCACCATTAAAACTATTAGACTGAAACCAAGAAGAAAAAGTGGGTTTGATTTTTTATTGTTGAAACCCATTGAATCTGAATCCATCATTAACATAGTGGTGGGGTGAAAAAACTGAAGACATCGATTATCTTTTGGGACTGGCCTTCGAGCTAGTTTTGAAGAAGAAAAAAAAGATTATGAAATTTTTTTCCCATATATATATATATATATATATATATATATATATATATATATATATATATATATATATATATATATATATATATATATCTAGGTTATGTTTTCTTAAATCTTGGTTGTTTTCTAGGTTTTTTTATTCTTACTTTGTTTTTATGTATTTTTTATTTTAATTGATGAAGTATTTTTAGTTTAATTAATTTTTGTGTTTGTTAATCATTTAAAAAAATTATATTTACTTTTTTAAATATAAATCTTAAAAATCAATTATTTTTATTTAAAAATAAAAATAAAAGTGAAAGGTAGTGAAAAGTGACAATTTCCTATCTTTGTTGGTGAGGGAAAAGAGAGTGAGCTTTCAGGGAAAGGAGATTAAGTGAAAGGTAATGTGACACTCAAAAAATGAAAGATGTTTCCCATACATACCATGTGGTCTAACGTGGGAGATGAGAGAGTCAATAGAGTTAGGGTTATTTTTTTATTTTTTTTTATTGTCTTTCTTTTAAAGTTAAAAGATTAAAATGCCTTAGACGTTTCGGTCACTTATTGGAAAAATAAACGACTAACGATATTAAGGATGAAGCACACAACTTTTAAACATATTAGGGACGATCCAAGTTAATTTTTGAAAATATAAGCTAAACATGTCATTTGGTACATGTATGAGGGATGATTCATGTAATTTACTGTTAATAATATTTCAAGTACATAACATGTCATAACAAAATATGTTGTCCTGTGTTTTGAGACTAAGACAAATTTTGTCCCACCCAAGAAACATACGAAGGAAAATTTGTGGTTTATATTGGTTGATTGATATATATATATATATATATATATATATATATATATATATATATATATATATATATATATATATACCTTTTGCAGTTACTTTCCATAGCAATATTTTTTGGAGCAATATTTTGCTTTAGTGCCTTTTGTTTCAGCAACATATACGTTTTCTTGGTTCTCATTTTAATTGGGGAGATTCTTGTTGATGCCAGTCAGGTAAATTGAAATTAACTTGTTACGTATTTGAATTAGTGTTCAATGCAAGTAATAATAATGTACTTTCATTCATTTGTTTCTTATAGCATCCCATTTTCATTTCTTCCTTTTGCTACATTGTACTTTGAAAAACAACTATTTATAGTAAGATCATCCATAGAAAAAAAAAAAAAAAATTTATTGCTATATTTTTAAGCCACCGTTGCAGTTCACTTATAAATGAAGGGGTAAAACAAGAAAGATGCCTAAAGAATAAGCTCCTGAGTTAAAGGGTTATTAAGTAATTTAGTAATACAAGTTTTGTTTTCAAAGTTGGAGCATGATAGTTGTGGGTTATCGTTTCGGTTATTTGAGAGTTATTCTCTTGTAGGAGATCCTTGGCTTCTCGAACAGCTAGACTTATACTTTCAATCATTAACAAACATTTGAATATCAATATGTTCTTGTTTTTTCAATTCAATTCGTGATTACACTTGTTGATTTAGGGAGATGATAGCAAAGTGGTATCAGAGCAATCAACATGGCTCCTAATACTAGAACTAACATTCAAAGAATCTAGGAGATTGGAAGGTTGTTTATCAAAGTATAATGTTCTATTATGAAAAAAAGATATTGAAAACACAATCCCTTGATTAGGTGGATTTTTCAAAATACAACGCTTTAAGAAGAAAAAGTTAAAAGTACAATGTTGTAATAAAAAAAATATATTGCAATTTCTTGCGTTTAGCCATTGGAATATTATCATGTATCATGCATGTATCACAGTAATATTCTTTAGATTCTGATAAAAACACAAATAAAAAAATAATAACAGGGTCCGGTGAATCTTGTGTGTCTCAATTCTGTTAAACCAAGTTTACGACCATTAGCAATGGCAATATCTACTGTGTCAATTCACATCTTTGGTGACGTGCCCTCCCCCCCACTTTTTGGAATCCTACAGGTTTGAAAATTACCTATTTATTTATTATTCTTCATTTTGAATTAATCAACGATTATTTTATGTGTGACACAGGACAAAGTTGATAACTGGAGGACATCTATTTTGATCTCAACGTCAATATTGTTTTTGGCAGCCGGAATATGGTTTATAGGTAAGAGCATTTTCATCTTTTTGTACAAATGAAATGAAGATCGACTTTTTCTTTTGATGTGGTATGTTTGTTTTTTACAGGTATCTTTCTTCATAGTGTCGATAGATATGAAGAAGATAGCGAGCAGCCAGATATGTCACATTTGCTTGAATCTGAGGTGGCTAATGGAGATATTACTTCTGCTTTATTATGAAAAAGGAAAGATGAAAAGATTAATGGAGTTGACACGTGATATACTAATACCGGATATATAAAATATCTATAGTTTTTTCTCTGTTTTTTATACCAATAAAGATGAAAAGCTACTTGGTCATAGACTAAGGAAATATGTATTTAAGATATTTAAAAGAGTGATTAATATTTATAGCTCTAATAAAATGCGGCTACTTTCATCAACAAATCTTAAAACGGGATTATATTTAGACAAATATCATGAAGGATTTTTTTTTGGGTTTAAAATATTCCTTTTAAACGGTTTTTTTTTGGAACTCTTTTTGTATTAGTGATCTTTTCGACAAAAATTGGCATGCAAATAGTCATTATATATAACGTCCATTAAAGAGAAATGTTAATTATCATTTGTGAGATTTTCTAAATCTTAATATACATATGAAATGACAAGACTACATCGTGGTCTCTACGATATGTATTTTTTATTTTTTATTTTTTTATTTTTTTCAATTTTGATCTAAATTTCAATTGTTTTTTTTAGATCGGTGGTCATTTTGAACTCGTTTCGTTGAATATTTAGTGTCTCTGAATATTCAAATGACTGTAATAATCTTGGCGTATTTATTTTCTCTTTTTCTTTCATTTATTTTAAATCTAATACTTATTTATTTATTTTAATAATCTACCTTCTGTAATAAACAAAACCTTACTATGCCACTTGTCATATTCTAAGATGTTGATTTGCCACATGTCATAATTCCAAGCTATTATTCATAAAAAACGTCCAACACCTCACAAGTAAATCAATTGTTTTTCAAATTTTGAAAAAAATAACCATATCCTAATTTATTTTCGATATGTTTTTTATACCAATACAAAATTGCAATTAAATATGTCGGTTTCTAATTTATCCCATAAAATCTGGGCCATAAAATATGGGATTTTATCATGGTAAATACCTAAAACTACCTATTATATAGCTAATTCTTCATTTAAACTTCATAAGAAAACCATGACTCCTTCATTAAAATTCAGAAAAAATTGCTTTCACATCGTCAATAATCAGGATTTCTGCAGAAGATACATCAAAGAAAATTAGGTTAATACATCATCAATCAACACTAACAATGATCTGTTTCGATTTATACCATTGTTAGTTGTTTGTGCATGCGTAATCATCTAATGATTCTTCTTCCTGTTTGAATTTATGTAAAGTATTAGTTGTTAATCATTCTGAAATTGTAATTTTACGTAATGCGTGTAACCATTTCATGTTATGAAATGTTGTATTTCAACTATACGTACTAGAAACACCTAAAAATCATATTTTAATAAATAAATCATATTGCTGACATATTTCTTAAACTACTATGCAGTCTTTTATTGGTGAAATACTTTTCTACAAAAATAAACTATAAATATAGCAATGTAGCTTCAAAAACAATCTTTTCCTACCGTTGTACTTTATAACAATCACAAGGGTAACCTCTCAAAGGGTAAAACTGTAATTTTTCATGCTTTGTATATATTCTCTTTAAATAAAAGGGTAAATTGTAATGCTCTATATGTTCCATTTAAGTAAAATAAAATATTGTTTTTTTTCTATTGTTTATACTTTATGTTTAAATAAAATGGATTTTTTTTTCCATTTTTTCTCTACCCTAATATAGCAATGTACTTTACAGTTTTAATTTCTATCAAATATAGCATTCTACTTTAAAAAAATTTCAAACATGTAAATATATGAAATTAGTACCCTTTCTATTACAAGACATACTCTAGGCCCAAAAAAAGACTGCCTTATGTGATTTTCAACAGAAAATTACATTCTTAAGGGAAATAGAAGTTAAAAAATTTTTCTTAATTTTCTGGGAAATGTTTTTAGTTTCTTTTTTGTGGATTTTGAATCAATTAATAAAGTTATCACAAAGCAAAGATCTCTTGCTAACATTCGCAATTATACCATTGTACTTTTGTGGTTGTTTTAAAACATTACGTTACATGATTATTTAATATTAATTTATTACTAAAAAAATTCTTCTGATCAGGTACTGGACTTAGTCTTTATTTTGTTTTGAAAATCATGTATTCACCGGCGCATCTATATTTTCGATGTTCTTCAATAGAGGATAGGTTGTGGGTATATAAAAGTATATTAATGGTGGTGAGAAGAAATGAAAAAGAGAAAGGAGAAAAGGATTGAATAAAGAAGAACCAGATGGGTGGTTTTGGGGTGATGTCTAATTGGCCATAAAATTGTGAAGGGTCAAACAAAGTTTTCATTATTTGACCTAATTAAAACTAATTAGGTGAGAAAAGGACAAAAGCGATGGACTAAATTAGGAAATTTGGGCTATTTCAAATGGGGAAAATGACTCTTGAGGGTAATTAACTTTTGCGTTTGTATTCATTTGGTCCATTTTCTTTTTTTCATATTCAATATACCATTGAACTTGTTGTTTGTGTTCACCATAATCCTTTTGACCGGCTTTTGACCTATGATAGTCGGTCGAAGGGTTATGGTGAACATAAACAACAAGTTTGATGGTATATTGAGTACAAAAAAAAAAGGAAAGGGACCAAATGATAACAAACTCAACAGTTGGTTACCATCCTGAGTTATTTTCCTCGAAAAGTTAAATGAAATTAAAGTTGTAAAATTATCAAAGACTTCAACCTTCTTTGACTATAACGTATATGAAGAGTGTTTCAGAGGGGTAACTTCGTTAAAACATGGCCTATGCTATGCTTATTGTGGTTAGCTGTCAACACCTCCCTTCAAAAGGATATGATTGTGTATGAAAGGTATATTTATCAGCAAAAACGTTTACCTCAAGGTATATTATGGTGTTGTGTCTGCAAAAGAAGCATGATATTGTACATATTGATGTTGTATCTCATCCCATGAATTCGATCTTAAAGCTAAGTAAACTCAAAAATCACAACACTTGTGATTCCACTCGTTTGTAGACTTATCTAGAATCCATGGCCTATGATATGCTTACTGTGGTTAGCTGTCAACACCTCTCTTCAAAAGGATATGATTGTGTATGAAAGGTATATTTATCAGCAAAAACGTTTACGTCAAGGTATATTATGGTGATGTGTCTGCAAAAGCAGCATGATATCGTACATATTGATGTTGTATCTCATCCCATGAATTCGATCTTAAAGCTAAGTAAACTCAAAAATCACAACACTTGTGATTCCACTCGTTTGTAGACTTGTCTATAATCCATGATACGATAAATCATTCGATTGGAAATGTAAATGCAGTCATGAAATGCTTCTGCTTAGTCAAGATCCCCCTAATAAATATTCAAATGCATTACAAAGTTGTACATGTATGAATAGTGCTTTTCCGTGGGTTATGTTTTAAATAGAAGCAATAATGAATCTCATAAAGTCATTAATATCAGTAGGAGTTGACGTGGGATTTGCTGTAAATGAGTAAGGGAAAATGAATCAGGATGGTAACCAACTGTTGAGTTTGTTCTCATTTGGTACCTTTCCTTTTTTTGTACTCAATATACCATCGAACTTGTTGTTTGTGTTCACCATTACCCTTTGACCGGCAATCACAAGTCAAAAGTCGGTCAAAAGGGTTATGGTGAACACAAACAACAAGTTCAATGGTATATTGAATACAAAAAAAGGGACAAAATAAGTACAAACGCAAAAGTTAATTACCCTCAAGAGTCATTTTCCCTTTAAAATGTTCAAGATGTCGTCCTTAAATTGATGATTGATATTTCACACACACACACACAGATATATATATATATGCGTATAAAAAATTATTTTCAACGGATATGTATTAAAGTATCTTATTATGTTGAAGCTTTTGTTTGAGTTCAAAACAAAAAAAAAATCATGTATAAGGTAAACTTTTTAAAATGGAATTTTCTAATACTTTTAATTTAAGTTTAACTTTTGTTAATATTATTAATTATATGTCATATATAGCTACCTTAAATCCATATAAAATTAACCTATAATTCTATTTTTATAAATATATACAAAATTACGTGACACACCAAACCGCACATGACATTGTACGTGATAAAAATTTATGGGGAAAATGACTCTTGAGGGTAATTAACTTTTGCATTTGTACTCATTTGACCCCTTTCCTTTTTTTGTATTCAATATACCATTAAACTTGTTGTTTGTGTTCACCATAACCCTTTTGACCGACTTTTGACCTGTGATAGCCGGTCAAAGGGTTATGGTGAACACAAACAACAAGTTCGATGGTATATTGAGTACAAAAAAAAAAGTAAAGGGACCAAATGAGAATAAATGCAACAGTTGGTTACCCTCCTGATTCATTTTCCCTTTACTCATTTACAGCAAATCCCATGTCATCTCCTACTGATATTAATAACTTTATGAGATTCATTTTTGCTTCTCTTCAAAACATAACCTACGAAAGGACATTATTCATGCATGTGCAACTTTGTAATGTACTTGAATATTTATTAGGGGAATCTTAACTAAGCAGGCGTATTTCATAACTACATTTACATTTCCAATCAAATGATTTATCATATCATGGGTTCTAGACAAGTCTACAAACGAGTGGAATCACAAGTGCTATGATTTTTTAGTTTACTTAGTTTTAAGATCGAACTCATGGGATAAGATACAACATCAATATGTATAATATTATGGTGACGTGTCTACAAAAGCAGCATGATATTGTACATATTGATGTTGTATCTTATCCCATGAGTTCGATCTTAAAGCTAAGTAAACTCAAAAATCACAGCACTTGTGATTCCACTCGTTTGTAGACTTGTCTAGAATCCATGATACGATAAATCATTTGTTTGGAAATATAAATGTAGTCATGAAATGCATCTGCATAGTCAAGATTCCCCTAATAAATATTCAAGTACATTACAAAGTTGTACATGCATGAATAATGTCCTTTCGTGAGTTATGTTCTGAAGATAAGCAAGAATGAATCTCATAGTCATTAATATCAGTAGGAAATGACGTGGGATTTGCTGTAAACGAGTAAACGAAAAATGAATCAGGAGGATAACCAACTGTTGCATTTGTTCTCATTTGGTCCCTTTACTTTTTTTTTGTATTCAATATACCATCGAACTTGTTGTTTGTGTTCATCATAACCCTTTGATCGGCTATCACAGGTCAAAATTCGGTCAAAAGGGCTATGGTGAACACAAACAACAAGTTCGATGGTATATTTAGTACAAAAAAAAAAGGAAAGAGACCAAATGAGTACAAACGGAAAAGTTAATTACCCTCAAGAGTCATTTTCCCAAATTTATGGATCCTATCATCGGCTTTATAATATGTTTTAGATATTTTTAATGTTATTTGTTCCTATTTTCTAACATGTTTACGGATTAATATTGCTTTACACATACTTAATGTTATTCATAGAAAAATATGATTATACTCATTATAAAAAATGACAAAAGTTATAAAATTATATTTGAATAGTAGAAAATTAAAAAATAATTATATTACATCATTACCTCAAAATTCATCAAGTACCCATGTTTTTAACAGGAAGAATGATGATAGTCTCCGTTTATTTTTTTATTTTTTTTTATCTTTACTGCATGTTTTTAAAGAATTATGCATGTCCTATAAATTTATAATAAACAAAACTAATACTTAATCGATCAAATAAAAAATTAAAATAAAAAACAATCTTCATATTTTTCAATTAGTACATTTTAAGTTTTCATTATTTTTTTGATACAGTTCATTATAACATTTAACTGTGTTCATTATTTTTATTTGTAGAACCAAAAGAGGACATATATTATATTAATGTGGAGAAAGATTAGAAAATTAAATTTGGATAATAAAAATCCAAAAAAATCTTATTTTAGATAAGGATAGTAATTTGACCAATAAAACTTCGAATGTTATACACAAAAAATTATTTTTAAAATATATATATATTAAAGTATTATGTTTATTTTTACTTATCAAATTAATTCATGATTACTTACAATCGAGAATTTGATGATTATTTTTATTTATTTATTTATTTTTTGCAGTTATTGATTTTTTGTCTATATAATTTTTTTAATGATACTGCTCGTGGTTTTCACGGGTTATAACCTAGTTAAAAAATAAAAGAGTCTCTCACTCTCTCTCTCATGCAAAGAGTACAATCACCATCTTAAGTTTCTTTATTCATCATCCCAAAAACATTAAAATCCATAATCAAACCCAATCGTTGTCTGAAATCATGGAAATAATCGATTTTCTAGGTTTTAATTGGAATTACATGTGTATCTGAAATCATGGAAATAATCGATTTTCTAGGTTTTAATTGGAATTACATGTGTATCTATCATGTTTCTAGGTTTAGATCTGATGCAAATCGAAGAGAAATCTGGTCGATGAAAAAACAAGCAGCCCAAAAAGAATCAATTGAAGCTCTAAGTTACGGTAGTTCGGGGCTGCTTTCCGCCGGAAAAATAGTAACACTAGAAAAAAAAATGGCGACACTTTACAACATCACCGCACACCACCTTTGTTCGATTTGCTAAGAGATAGGGATGAAAAGCAATCAAAAGCCAACTCAATAAATAAACAATGTAAACAAATGCATTTCCATCAAATACAAACCCATATAAGATATGAACCATCGAACTATCGACCCTTCTACTAGGAAAATCAAGACCCACTCTTTCCCATTATTGAGATATAAAAATCAAATCTAAAAGAGTAATCCCATAAAACGTTTTAACTCTTCAAACAACCGTAAAAGGGACCAAAAGCATAAAAAAAACAGACTATGAAGAGATTTAATCATCTACAAGCCAAGATATGAACTTGATACCTCAAATAGATAGCAACAAGTGGGGTGATTCTAGATCTATGACCTTCCTTCCAAGCTAAGCACCTTGAATCTTCAAAGTTTCCTTCAAAATGAGCAAAATAATCAATATAATCCTCTCAAGGCTCACGAACACCACCAATATATATATATATATATATATATATATATATATATATATATATATATATATATATATATATATATATATATATATATATATACTAGGCGAATCCCTGTGCGTTTCGCGAGAATACAATTATATATTTAAAATAATAACTTTTACCAAATTAACATAAAAACACTAAACATCTATTATAACATTTATATTAACTCTTTATTTCTAAATCACAAATCTGTTTAAATACATGAATGTTTTTAATGAGCAAAACTTTACAACCTTATAAAAAATAGAAAATAAAAAGTTATTAGTGATTACTAATTAATAATCATAAGTTAAAAACTCTTGAGTTGTAACTAATAAATATACATAAATTAGAAAACTCTTGAGTTGTAGTGTGAGTTTCAAATGAATGCGGTACTTGGAAATGTGTATTTATTATTATTATTATTATTATTATTATTATTATAAATAATTGGTTTTGATGCATCATTTTAATCCCTTCAATTATTAAACATAAAGATATTTTATTATAAATTTATAACATACATAGGTGCATATATATGTTAAACAAATCACATATAATATATACTTTCGTAAATGTCATATGCAATTCTTGTCGTAATAATATGGATAAATTACTTTCATATGAAGAACATATCATGATAAGCCGGTCATAATTACATATCCATGTTAAAAAATTATGTTATCTTTTAAACATTGTCTTCTAAATTTGTTGTGTAGGATAACCTAACAAAAAAATAATAGAAAATAAACATAATCAAAATAGAAAAACTACAATCAAATAAATAAAAACTTTGGGTGGTTGAATATATGAATAATAATGTTACATAAATATACATTTAAATCAAAAGAAAAAACTAACATTAGTCTACTTTGCTCAAACAAAAAAAACCTATATCTGTTTTCTGAATTTTCTTTCTTCATTTAACACCATTCAACCATACAAACTTGATGACAGTTTTTACTAACTTGCAATCAAAATGTTTTTCTTGAAAAAGAAGAATCAAAAAGATATTTCATGCAAAACATTGATGTTTGGAGAGTCACAGTCACATTCAAGATTGAGTAATACACACAAATTACATATAAAGATTAAATAAGAAACTGAATATAAAAAAGAATAGAAAAACTTCATTTGTTTGGGTTAAAAGAAAAATCATATTGCAATTATCATCGATGCAACATAACCATTTCTTCAAATCATCATATTTGGATCGTGAATGCTTCAACTATATGAAAACTTTTGAATCACAATATCTTCAACCAAATGACGATTTTTTTGTAATAAAAATGTACTAATATAACTACATATATAATAAGAGAATGCAACACATTATTAGAAATTTATAAATGTTATAAATGTTATTAATTAAGGAATATAAAAAGTTATGTAGCTTTCAAATCAATATGGTTTGAGAAAAAAAATATCTCTAAGCATATGATTTTGAATGGTTTGGTTTGAGAAAACAAAATATCTCTAAACATACGATTTTGAATGGTCTAATTTATACTACTGGGAAAAAAAATATAGTGTGATCAAACTATAAGTAAAAATGATACATTCATCCACAATCTTGACGAACTAGTATAACAAACTTACAAATTAAAAGTTCTAATATAATAGCATATCTCCAAAAGTGGTCATAAGACCTCAACCCAACACAAAAACCTTTAAGTTTGTATTCTTTTTGAAATTTGTATATGATTTGTATGCATGTCTTCCCAAAAGATTGATCTTTTTATAGTAAACTTTTCACTAAATGCTAATTAAACATAATATAAGTTATAAAACTTTTGAGTGTTAAATCATAATTAAGAAAACTTTTGAGTTGCATTAGTTAAAAAAGCGGGTTTCAAATGAATGTGGTTTGAGGAAGTAAAAAAATGG